ACACACACACACACACACACACACACACACACACGAACAAAAATATCCAAAATGCAGTGATGAAAAAGGGCGAGGACCTAGTCCATAACGTTTCAAGGCTGCTGAGCAGGTTTTACAGTAACCAATTTGAGACTCCCCGCACGTGAGATAAATACACGAGGCCACTGCTGTATCTTGTCTGTATGCAGCTCCATGTTACTTCATAGGAATGGGTAAAAATCCAATTTTCCCCTTCCTGGAGCGCAGCACCGCCTGTGCGGCAGAGCAAGACACTAGGCTTCGCCTCTCACCAGCAGACATGAAAAGCAAGCCTCCGTGCCTATGCAGCAGAACCTAGTGGAAATATTCCCACGTATTGGGGAAACGAGACGACACCCTTAGCTGACGGGGGAAGCCGCCTCACAGCCGGCCCTGGCCCCACTCTCACGCTGGGCTCCGCTGTTTGTGATTGATCCCTATCACCTTGAGGAAGCTGGCCGGGTCCCCAGTGATAACACACAAGTTCAAAGGTTGCCACAGTTTGCCTCTTAGCTCACCAACCCAGTGGAAAAAAGTGCACGGGAACCTCTCGAGGCCGCAGGAAAGCGCGGTTTTAGGCAGATTCCCAAGCGCAACCAAGAGATTATGCCCGAGAATAAGGCAAGTGTTTCAGTTTCCCCCTGAAAGGGACTTACCAGCAGCACTCTGCCCGCTGGTGCTACCCACAGTTCAGCTTTACCTAGGCTGCGTCGGGGCAGGAACCGAGCCAACACAGCAGGCCTCTGGCAGCCTCTGTAAGAGCTGTGTCCTCTCCTGAGATCCCTCAGAGTCGCTGACTCAGTCTCTGCCGTGGCCCAAGAGTCTGTCGAGGCAGCAAGGGCCGCAGGGCCCGCGGCTCTCCCGTGAAGGCCGCACCAGGCGCCCCGGGCTCTCGTCCTGAGTCTCCGCATCCCAAGTCTTTGTTCATCCCCTTACTAGAGTGTCTGCAGTGCACGCGTTCCACAGTCACCTCGGGGGAGTTAGGTGACACAGCCTGTAACACAGTCGCGTAACACTTGTGCGCAACACAGCTTGCTTCCTGTTTTCATCCCGCCCCAGTCCCGCCCTCCTCCTCCTCTCCTTCCTCTCGTTCTCAATACTACTCACACTTCGTGTTTACGGCAAAAAAACCCGTGCACCTTCACTGAGACTGTTAGGACTTTGTACCCGAGTAGCCTCGCTGTTCCCACCCCCACCCCGCCCTCGCACCCCTTGCCCTTGGTCCCTTGGTCCTTCGTCTCCTTCCATCCTGCCTCTATTTTTCTCTTAATACGTCATACTATAGCAATACGAGCATGTGATTCTTTACAGCACCACAATCCACGCTACAGAATCCCGGAAACAGCCTACATGCCAGCCAAAGACGCCTGGATGAAGAAAACGTGGTGTCTACACATAACGCAGTACCCCCGGGCTGTAAGAAGGCCGAAGTTGAGACAGCACCGTATGATACTTCTCCTCTCAATAAATCCAATTCGCAAGTCTTCTAAGTCACATAAAACAAAGAAACGGACATTGTGAAAAAAAAAGAAAAGAAAGAAAGAAAGAAAGAAAGAAAGAAAGAAAGAAAGAAAGAAAAGAAAAGAAAAGAAAAGAAAAGAAGAAACGGACACTGTGTCATTCAGAAGAAAAACCGCCTAAAAGAGAAAAGATTTCTTTTATCTCATGGTTCCAGCGGCTTCTTATGGTCAGCTGGTTCCATGGGGTGGCCCTAAGGTGAGGCAGATGTGTGGCAGAAGGGCATGGGGGACCAAAGCTGATGGGCCCGTGGCAGCCAGGAAGTGGGAAGGGAAGGCATGGAGGGGCAGGGGCCACGGCAGGGCACGGCCCTATCACCCACCCTCTTCAACAAGGCCCCAGCCTCTTTCCACACCCTCAGTGACGCCATCAAGTCAGAGTCCCTCAGAGCCTTCTGATCCTCCTGACCGTCCACCTCTGAACACACAGT